CTCCATAGATGTATTTTGGGGAGAACACAGAAGTCCCCATCAATGAACCAAAGGCAAGTTCAGCATCTCTAGTTTCCTTCTGAGTCTAAGTATTCCAGTTGAATGCTTTGCATAACTTTAGGGATCTGTACGAGCCTAGGGAATCCTCCCCCTCCCCACCAGACCAAGTGAGTGCTTGTCACAGCTCATGACTGTTAGTTCTACAGATCAGACCCGTATTTTACAAGTTTAACACAAAATAACGAATAATCACACAAGCACTACAAACAGTCCAGAGCCAGCTTGTGCTCATGAAGTCCAAACATAAAAAACAAACCATTTCAAAACTGAGAGTCAAGCTATACAGTCTGATCAAGTCATCAGACATCAGCTCTGTCCTTCACAGCTCCTCTCCTCTGACACCATCCTGTGCACAGAGGCACAGCTGCTGCTCCTGGCTAAGGTTCAACAGCATGTTTGTGGTTTCTTACAGACACAAAAACCCCACAACAACAACAACAACAAAAACCCCAAAACACACACACGCCTTCCAGGACATTTCCAAGAGTTCAGATATCTGAACTGCTGCAGTGCATGGTGGATCTTGAAAGGCATCTTCCATGTGGCAGGAGGGAGGTTAACACTGGCATGGAAGAGAAAGACTGTTTGGGGTGTAACCTGTCTTCGTTACAGTGTACTGTGATAAGATATGAAGCATTGTCTACTTCTTTCAATTACTGGTGTTGGCTGATAATGCCACAGGTCTTTTTAGCCCTGGATGCCTCAAAATAATCACTTTCCCCAGGAAAACAATTAGCGTAGAACAGACCCAGAGAAACCTGTGGATATGGAAGTAACTCAGAGGGTAGGGAAGAGAGGAGGACGGGGCAGGCCAGGCAAGTCCAAGCACTTGAAAACGTTCATGCAAGCCAACAGATGCCTAAGACTACAGAGAACATGCCAGCAATGACCTGCTAATATCAGGCACAGTTATAGCTCCTGCCAAGTGTCATGGCTTCATGCATCTTTTTCAGCGGAATTCTACCTGTCTCCAAAGAGCTACAACATCTACAAAAGGGTTTTTACAATCTCTTACCCTTCCCACCAGAGACTGAGAGGTAGTATGTTCAGCTGGGTTTGGGCTGAGGCACCAAGCGAGTGCCAGCAGGGATGGACTGAAGCAACCACCTCTGTTAATCCAGCCTTGGAGAAAAGCTCTCTCAGGTATGAGAGGAGGTGGGACGAAAAAAATCTAACAAAGGACTGCAGGGAACAGATGTCACTGCCCACACTTCTGTTGGCACTTGGACTTTTCAGACAGCATATAAAGAAGTTTTTTTCCAAAGCAGCTTCCAAGTTTAATGCCATTCTTTGTCTTATTCTGACAGACAGTTCCAAGCCCAGCAAGAATGTGTCACACCTTAAGCACAGCTTGCATACTTGGGAAAGCTGTGACAGGAAATTTTACTGAACTGAGGAAAGCAATCTACAGGAGGTAATGAACTGGCATTCATTTTCCCCAAACCAGCAAAACACTGTGTAGAAATAAGTTGACAATTTACTGACAATAAATCAACTTTCCCCTATGTAATCCATAAAAATGAATCAGGCATATGATACTCCACAGTATATTAGCAGTTCAAAAACAAATAGAACAGGGACTCAGATACCTCATTACTCCCTTTCATTTACATTTCATAGTATTTTCTTTCTGTAAAATAGCAGACACATTAGCAAAAAGTTACTTGCTGAAATTACAACCAGCAGCTTGAGCATACAGAGCATCCTCCATCCTCCTCGTGTCTCAGACTACTTATGCAGGATCGTATTAATTCACAGATCCAGACGCCAATTGTTTCACCACTCGATCCTACCAACAAATACCACTCATGGAAAGCCTTGTAGTCAGTGGGACTGCACAAAGTAATCCGCAATTCAGTTCAAGCATTAACATACCACACTAGTATGATAACAGCAGGCTATGTTACTACCTGAAAGAGATTTCCGGGGGCACTCCATCACCACCTGCAGAAACGCCCCGAGATGAAGGAAGAATGCTCCGGTCCGGGTGGAGGACACACCTGAGTCATGACTAAAGGAGAAAGCAGCCCCAGAATTTCCTTACTTATCTATAATGCTGATTGTCTTATGAGTCAAAAGTGCCAGACAGATGTAAAGTCTGTAATCTGGTGAGCAGGTAGTGTCTTTGTTTTTAACTTCTGGGTTAAAAAAAACCCAAAACAAAACAACAAAGCAAAACAAAACAAACAAACAAAAAAATACTACAAACCCCAAAACCACACAACTTTTTTTTTTTTGTTCTCACCAGATTTTAAAACATTTGGGAACAAGGTTATGGCTGGTTTGACTTTACTGTGGCATTAAGCATTCTACTCTTCTACTGTTCATTATAATTAAAAAAACATTTACTGTGATTGTCATGACATACAGCACTTGTAAGAAAGAACCATCCTAGCAGCAGCTTCATCTAGAAACAAGTCTGTGACAGTTACAGTCCTCAAGTCGTACTTTCAAACCAAGAAGATCTAAGATGCCCACTCTCATGCTTTGCCTGCTGATGGGCAGCCAAAGTTCAATTTCCATCTCATTCCACTTTCCAAGAGCACGTGTAAGTATCACTAAGGCAATTTTCTTCCCTTATAGGCTGCTCTGTGTCACTTAAAGGCCACAACAGGCTTCACTGAGCCATTTAAGCAGATGGCCTTGCCAGGATAATAGTTACATTAGGAAGTTAGTGACTGAGACATTATTTCCCATTAGTCACCTTTGCTTGTCTCCAAAGTAGACGTTTTCTGCACGCCTTAAAATGCGCTAATCACATATATTGCATGAAAGTAGTAAAAGAGAATCAGGATGTTTCCTATTTTTAAGCTGGCTGACAAAAACAAAACCAAAAACATTACTTGCACAGGAAGACTCACACTTAACCAGGAGCTACTGCTTTTCAAAGTACCAGTTCAAGGCGCTTTAGAAAGGTAAGATGGTAGCACACAATTTCAGCATCTGTGACCATTATCTTCTGTTTATTGCTTAAACTACTTCGCTGAAGATGAAACCATATAAGAACTACAGCCATTTTCAGGACTTGATGAAAAGGTAAATATCAATTTACCAACATGCATTTAACACTAATGCCAGGATTGTGTTTTCTTCCCTTCTGCACATGCTTCATATCCTTGTTTTCTAAGCACAAGTGTACATTAAACAGCTGTCACAGAAGATATCAAAACAGTTTTACAGTTTGTACATAAACCCCACGCTCAAAAAGTTAGCATTTGAGGGCTGAAGTTCTTCATTAATGCCTGCAGAAAGGAGCTTTAATTTGACGAAATCCTGTTTCATTTGAGATACACTGTGGGAGACCAAGAAACCTGATTTCCCATGTCTCACCCAAACCACAAATCTCCTCCAAAACAGAAGACAGGCAAAAAATCCTCAAAGCCACTCCACATAAATCAGCCTCTTACCAAACACTCAGGACATGGCTTTCCAGACCAGAAAAAAAGTGTCTGGTCTCCCACCTGCTGCCTGCCAAACCCCCACAGGTACCACAGCTGACCCGCTTCCCTGCAACATGCAGGGAATTTGAAGCTGGCAGAGATGAGCCGCACCCTGACCAGCAGCACCACAGCTCAGCCACAAACACATGGTTGCCTGGACCCCTTTATTGCTAGGGGTTTCCTTGCCATTCCTAAGGTTTTCCTTGCCAAAGCAACCTCCTTTTGTAGGTTTATGAACAATTCCTAAAGCGTTTCAGTTGAAGATAACCCTTTACTGTTAAATATACAAGAAAGTCATCTCATCTGCTCTTCAAGGGCTCATACCAAGGAGATATACCATGCTACAACAGTACTTCATGCAACATGGGAGGGATTAAGCTAATGTTTGGACTGGAGCATGGAGATGGAATAGATAGCTTCAGGAGGTGCTTCCTAGCCCTGGCAATCCCTGGTTCGGAGCTCCCAAGAACTGTACCATGACCAACACTTCTGAACCTGAAAGCTCACTGTGTTATTCGGCTGCTGCCATTCAACTGGGTTCAAGCCAGCATGGACATGCTGCAGACTCTGCTGGAAAGATAGGAGTAGCTCCTGCATAGCTGCATTGGTAACTTGCTGCCTTGCTCCTACATTTGTTTTATCTGTTTATCCTTCTGCACACTGTAGCATTGCTGTAACACATGGGTTGAGGGCATCACTTTTTTTGACTGTGGCAGCACCCGAATCATATAGTAACCCACCTTCTGTGCCATACCTCTCAACATAACAAGAACAATACCTAACAACATAAATGTTTGATGGGAAGTTTAAAGATCAGGCAAGCAGAGACTGGAGAGTGTATTCCCCTTGGCTGTATTAGTTCCTCCAATTATTACACAGACATCACTTACTTTCCGGTTGTTTTTCATTAGGTGTTATTGATCTCACGAAATCCTGCGGTGTCATAAAAACCTCTGATTCACCGTGCTCATTTATGACTTTTAAAGTGGCGAAGTATCTGAAGATTTTGTCTGGCGTGGAGTAAGCTCTGATCCTGTTCTCATATTCCATCACCTGGAAATTAAATGTAACCAGTATTAGATACACATGGTTCCTCCCCCAGGACTTACATCAACAGCTACTCCTAGTCCTCTCCGAAGGTTTTGCCACAGGACAACAAAATTATGTGCAGCAACACAACACGTGCAAGAAATAATGCTGAAAGGGTCAAAACTCCTCCAATCTTCAGCCTTTGAATTACCAGTTAAACTAGAAGCATCAACTCCTGATGTCCCAGGAGTAAGAGCAAACACTAAGAGTCTTTTACTATTTTTAAAGTTTTGACTCTTCGTGATGGCAGAGGAAATACAAGTTAACAAAACCCCTGAAAGCACTTTTAAACATGAACATAACCAGCATCACATTTGTGCCCCTAAAGCAGCTCAATATTTTAATCACAGTGTTGAAGGTTCGATTTGTGATTAATAAATGAAGGAAAAATGTCTTGGAGAGCTGAGAGAGACATTTACTTTCAAGCTGAGTCTTGGAAAAAACTACTTGGAGCCACAGCTGATTGCTCAGGCACCCAACCTAATTTTTTCATCTTTTCTATCACATTGGCAAAATTCTGCAGCAACATTCTTTACTCAGTCCTCTTTTTCCCACCAATCTGCCACTTACTCTGCCAGTAGTGATCATTTTGTACCTAGAACCATCTGCCCCAACACACAGCTGGAATTAATCAGAGAACAGAAAGCTTTTATAAACAAAATCACATCATAAGGTCACAAGCAAGGAAAAAGACACAAGGACCTACACTTCATTATGCATTAGAGCAGAAAACTTTCCTTCTTCGTACAGCTTTTTATTCCTGCATTATATACTATGTTTAACAATCCATAAGGTACTTCTTGAAACCTTCAGTACTTCTGGCCAAGAGCCACAGGAACTAAAAACAAAACCAAACAAGTAATGATCTGCTAAAAGAGAACAGTCAAGATCAAGGGTACTGCCAAGGCAGCTGTAGATCATTTATGGCTTTGGTTCTGTTTCAGCCTTGTCCTTCAACTTGAACAACTTCTCCACCCTGATGTTTATCAGACAGAAAACACACTCTCTAGTGTTGTCATATTTCTAGGATAAATCAAGCCAAATGCTTTTAATCCCTCAAGCCAGGCTTCGGTAAATCAACTAGGGGAAAACAAACCCTCTTTCTTCTACATTTGTTCCAGCTCAGATCTCCAGCAAAGGCAGCCAGAGATGACTATCTATAAGGAAAATCTCTGAAGTGTTCTCCCCACTCTTAGCATCACCATAGCTTTATCATAATTCAGAAATGTCCTACATCGACCACTATCACCAGCTCCCTCTTTCTTGCAGCCACTTCCATAGAACGTTTTTGTCTCTAGTCCCTTTTGCAGCTACAAGCAACAAACCTAAACCCCTTTCTGTTGCTTCAGTCCAGAAGGCCCTCCAAAGATAAAGGCACTGGATTGAGAGCAACTGCTACATTGCAAAATTACAGGCCGCCATCTATCAGCTGTAAACAACAAACACCATGCACTTCCCCAGCTCTTCCTGCTGCCAAGCTGCACGTGCCTTTGTCTACAGCTCCCACCTGGCAGGCCTTAACCTGTTATGCCAAAGTGATCTTTGACTTGCGATTTCAGGCCCGTATCTCACTCCTTCCTGTAGCACGACCTGATCTCGAGTAACACCCCCACCCAACTTCATCAGCCAAAACCAGAGGTAAGTATTTTTACCTTCAAGCAAGACACTAAAACCAACTACAGTATCAAGTCCAGGATTACAGCCAAGAGCAGACACCAAAGACCATGACCAGCAGCTCTCTCTCTCCATGACACCCTTTCAACACAGCTCGCTTTCTAGCACAAACACTTGTCTGCCTGAGACTCTACATTACTCACGATTTTCCAAACCTGTAGGAAAAGATTGCTTTCAAATGCTTTCCTTCAACTCAGCAAGTTACACCTCTTGTACTCAAAACCACCTCTGCAGCAGAGGCATTAGTCCTGACACTTCCGCCAGTAAAACCATGTTTCATTTTATCACATTTGACTTCACATCTGCAACAGATCTTTCCCCTCTATCTGTTTTAAGATCTTTCTAAGATACTACAGGCAGGCTTGTTGCTGTCAGGAGCTTTCCTCCTCATTCCTGGAGTATGGGCATTGCCTTTGCTTTTCATCTGTCATCTTTACCAAGACTCCTCCTTTCTGGTCCAGCAACTTCACTGCTAAGTCTTTCTTACCTCAAGCTCAGGGCAATCCTCAAGGCCCCTGCTTTATTGATGTTCAGCAGTCTACATTTGCTTTGATTTCACACACAGCAATTTTCCCACCCATTCAGATCCACACTGCACCCTCAAGTCTAATACAACCATCACCTGCCACAGAAGCAAAACTACATGGTTCTTTCCTAGATCATTTGCCATCCCATTTTCTACCCAGACATACTGCTAAATCAAGATCTTCCTTGGTTGACTGTCAGGCACTCTTGAAGATGCAATTTTGAATATGTGGCTCTAGAGCAAGAAGGATCAGTCTGCTGCTCAAAAGCCATGTACAGCTCATATGTGGTATGGCTCACAAAAGCCAGCTAATGACACAGGCTAGAAAAGGTCTCCTGTCTCAGCATGCAGCACAACCACACCACACAGATCTACAAACCCAAAGGTTTGCTCCCATGCAGTCTGTGGTTTCATGAAAAATACATAAGTGGTTTTGGGCTTTCTCTCCTCCAACAAAAGCAGCGGAATGCCCTTACAGAAGTAGGGCCGCCTCATTAGGCCTCAGAGCAGCGTCAAACAGCAAAGCAGGCAAATAAGGATTTTTAACAACCATAATTTGCTGATGCAAAGTTTGCCACATCTGGCTGAACACAGCCAAGCTGACCTATCATCTCCATGAAAGCTCAAAGCAGCTCCTGTAAGCCCACTGCAGTGTATGAAATGGGTGTTACCTGTTAAGTGATTTGAGTTTCAGATCTGGAAGAAAATGTGATTATGTACAGCTACTCACAGTTTCATGGGAAGCTACTGTTAGTTTTGATTATTTCTGTCCTTTTGTGTTCCAGCAATTAGCTATGGCATACACAAACACACTATTTTCAGGACAAATACATTCCAGAAAAATTATGAGGAACAACAGTCCTGAATGACCCAGAAGCGGGGGGGGGGGAGCTGAATCTAAAATGCTTGTTTAGATCTCACAGTCTGCTTTCATCAGAACAGAAATCACATTTCATCCTCAAATGTCCCTACAAGAAGCAAATGCAGCAACATTTATTCCTTTTTGCCCACAGCTGAACTCACAGTCGCCTCACTTTCACTAACATGGTCTGATCAGCTGGCAAAAACTAAACAAACACGCTACAACACATCACTCTGACTTCACGACTGGATTGAACATGAAGCCAGGTCAAGAAGAGAATAGCCAAGACCCTCCAAATGAGAACAACTCCCTTATCCAAGACAGGTCACTAAACACAAAGCAGGCGATAACATGGGTGCCCTGATCACACTGCACAAACATGGAGATAGAAGCACGTGTATGTGTTTGGGTGTATATACCATCATTCGTGAGGGGGTTTTACACTACTTTGAAACAATCTGGACATAAAGTCATCCCAGACAAGTCTCTCCTCCCATGACCTCTCACCTACAAAATACTCCAAAATACTTTCCTGGTGAAGCGGTTGCCTTCCCCAGTATGCACCAGACTTTGATGCAGTGGAGAGCAGCCAAAAATTCTCATCCTGCCACCAGAACTGCAACCTCATGTAATCAAGGGGCTCCAGAAAGATCATGAGACTGAAAAGGAAGAGTCCTATTTTGACATTTATTAATAGAGCATGCACTGGAGGGAAAAGATGAGCAAGTAATCCATATTGTGCTACAAGAGTGAAGCTGCTGTTGAGACAGTCTGTTTATGCTAAGCCTCAGGTTAAAAGGAAAAAGAAATAAAAAACCTGTGCAGACATGAAAATAAAGCTCCAAATTAACACCTCAGTTCACTTCCAGAGCATCACTGGGGCCTCCCTGACCATGCAACAGCACACGCATCTCAGCAGGGTAAGTTAATTAGGATTTTCTTTGGGTTTCCTACTGTAATGCACACCAAAATGAAGTCTCAGCATGACTGACATTCCTAAGGCAGCGTACCTGCAGGACCCAAACACTGTAAGCAGATCTTGATAAAATGCTGCAAGTTAATTAACACATCAGCCCACCCGCAGCATGTACTACTGCTCATTAGCCTTCTAACTATAAAAGCATTCAAACAATCTTTTCCTTTTCTGCCTTACCCAGTCAGGACCTCTATACTGCATAACCTCCAATATAACACATGCCCACGAACCACCCACACATGATCCCAGCACCAGCCCCAGCAGATGCCAAGTAATTTGTATTTCAACTTCCTCTTCACTGAATCACTACCCAAAATAGCAATGTCAAGACTAATTTATTATTTTCAGTACTAATCGACTTCATTAAAAACAACACTGGGATAACAAACAAGTATTTAACACTTTCAATTAAGCTTATATTTTGTCAAGGAAAACACACTGTTTTCATTTAATTATGGGAAGAGCTGGAAATGCTTTTCAGTGTGGGTGGTGGGTTTTGGGTTTGGGGTTTTTTTTTTTTCTTTGGGAGGTTTGTTTGTTTGTTGGTTTGGTTTGGGTTTTGGTTTTTGTTGTTTGGTTTGTTTTGGGTTTTTTAATATATAGAAGAGTCGGGAATTCCCAAGGTGCTACACAACTCATTAGGGGAGCAGCACATCCTGGGAGCAGCCCTGATTTTGAGTTGGGAGCAGGGGCACACCTTCCTCTGTCATCTGAACTGGAAACATTCAAACATACCTCCTGAGATGACTCACTAAGGCAACTGCTGATCAAACACCAAGCCCACAGCATAGCTGCTCAAACAAACACAGAACCCAGCAACTGCGAGGCTGCCAGTTACATCCTGCATTAAATGAAGCAAAAGCAACACTGCCATTCAGGTCACAGAAGGCACATTCCACCTTAAGGCTGATGGAAGAGGACTTATGTTGGCAAAAGATTGCAAGGTCTGTTTTAAACAGTGCTCTCCCTGCTGAAATTGTTGTTCCCAAGTTGAGCACTGCAGGAGGAAGGTGGGCTGTAGACTGAGAAGGGATCAAGGCTGCATGTCATTCCCACCAGATCTCAGGGGCACCCTCCATGCCTGGCTCAAGTGCTATTTGGAAAGTGTGGCCATATTCCTCCCTGCCCAGTATAAGAAAGGAAGAGCTGGCCAGAAGCAACCAGCCATGTTAAAATTAATGATCACATTTGCTGTATCAACAAATAGGTGTGGTGTTGGTTTTGTTGTTTTGGTTTTTGGTTTTGGTTTTGTTTTTTTTTAAATAACAGTGTGGATGAAGGTGGATCATTTCTTCACTCTTTGTAACCTGCCTTCATCTGCTGACACTAGGAAAAATAACCTGCTTTTCTTGAGTGGTACTGGCAGGAGTTGAAGTTTTGCTGAAGCTGTCAGTGTATCCAACATCCAGTTGCCAAGAAAATCAGCAGAAGCCGAGAACCCATACTCCTGGACCATTCTTCATATTTCAGCATAGTATTTTACAAAATAAGTTCACTGAGCTGCCACCAGCATGTCACCATAGGGAGAGTTTGGAGCCCCAAATACCATAAGGCATTTGAAATTTCAAGTTGGGTAGTCTACTCTCACAAACAACAGACTACGATTCAGCAACTTCAAATGAAACAGCTCTTAATTTTTCATTAAAAGCTGTTAAGCCACTATATTGCCATCCACAATTTAACTGCGGATGAGATGCAACCTCCAGGATACGGACTTAAAAATAATTAACAGAAGCAAATCACACAGAAAGGAATAGTGAAGAGCATATACTCCTGCTCTCCTCTTTGGCACTGCAGAGATATTAAATCATCAAACATAGCCCAATAAAAATGACACCCAGACAGGTTTAAAAAGTAAAATACTGCTGTCTGCCAACTCAGTTACAGGACTTTCCATCAGACCAAGTAATACATCTTATAATAACAGTGGTTACAGATAGTACCAAACTAGTTGTAAGACAGTTCTGAGGACAACTAAGCTCTCAGGATTGTCCAACAGTGAAGGCAGGTCACAAGTTGACATTACAGCTCATTACCCAAAGCTTTCCTCCTCTTGAAAATGTGTCTGATAAGAAAATTAAACAGGCACAAGCATCAAGAGAGAGACACAACTAACTGTGAATAGGGAGTAAGGCTGTATTTCAAGAACTAAGTTTACATGGAACAATTCAAGGTAAAATTCAAATACACCTTTCCTGTAATCTCTCTTCCACACTCACCTTCTGCTTCCTACATACACTGTGTACATTCACAGGGAAAGA